CAAGGACAATATGTTGCTTGCTTTGCCGCAGCAGCGGTAGCGGCGGCGGCAACAGCATCTTGAGTAGGCAAGTTTCGCAGCAAATATTGTTGAGTAATTTTGCCACGCTAATTTTGTATGTTGGCCGGCGGGCAGACCTGGCAAAAGTTCAACTAACAAACAAAGGCGATAATTACAAGAAAACAGGCGAACAGCCAGCTAGCAGCACAGCAGCACAGGAGCAAAGGATCACAGGAGCAGGGAAAGTAGTTTTAGCTATGTTTCTCAGTTGCGTATGCGAATGCAAATAATTTTACAAAAATTAAAAGCAGACGACGGCAAAACTTTTACGTAGATTCAACAGTTTTTGAAATCTATCCTGTCAGATGCGAAAGGCTTACTCTCGCCCTCCTTCTCTCGGTCGCCCTCTTCTCTGCTGTTGTAGTTTATGCGGCTGTCTGAAGGCATTTAACCTACGCTACTATAATTCACGCCATTTTCAACGGCATTTAAATGCAGCGCGCGCGACTCGCATCCTGGCAACCCGGGACGTTGCGTCCTGTCCTCGGCTACCCAGCTGGGATAACGATAAGCCAAACATGATTTTACGACAATGTTATTACCAGGCAGGCAGCGAGGGTTGGTGCACGGAGCCCTTGTATTGTGTGTTGTGTTTGTTGAGACGTAAATGGCATTTGGGCTGGAGACGTCGGCCCGGCGTAGCCCTCGGGTTATATGCCATGACGTTGACGTCGTTGTGATTGTTTAAAGTTATGAATAATTAAATATTTGCGCAGGTTGCAGACTCTGAACGTGGATTTTGGGATTCGAGGGTTCTCCACTAGGCTGATGGTCGCGGTCAATAGATAAGGGGCTAAAGATCTATTCATAGACTAAAATGAACGATTTATTGATATATATAGAAAATAATTAATTTACTTTTACAATCATAGTATGTAGCTCTACCTGCTTGAGCAGATATTCTCAGCTAATTATTTTCTGCAACAAGAAAAAAGTTTATATTTTAGTTCGGACTTCTTTCATTATCTATTCGCCTGTTTCAACTCTCTAAGCCTTACCCATCCATTTCCTATTCATTTACTTAGCGACAACAGACCGCAAAACGCTAATGCAAATAATTGCCGTCCATTTCAAGTGCATTAAAGTGGAAATTATGTGCACTGCCGCAGTTAATTACACAAAAAAGGAAAATAATTTAAAAAAAAGTCACAGAACTGTTATTTGGAGATGCGGGGCATCGATCCCCGTACCTCTCACATGCTAAGCGAGCGCTCTACCATCTGAGCTACATCCCCAGTTGTATGTACTGAAAATAATAGTCTATTTGAAAGCAACCCAATGCCACGCAGTGATTTATGCATTATTTAATTGGATTTTGGGAAAGGGCTATGAATTTTTAAAAATCAAAAACTGGTTAGATGCATAATAAATAAATTTTTGGGTTTTTATTTTATATTTTATAAATGACTAGCTTATGAACACTACTGTGCGAGCCTCAACACATGAGGCTCAATGGTCTAGGGGTATGATTCTCGCTTTGGGTGCGAGAGGTCCCGGGTTCAAATCCCGGTTGAGCCCGTCGCTTCTTTTTATATTTTAATTTCTTATGATTAAGTATTATCGTCTTTTGTAGTCACTAAAATTTTTAATATTGTAGATTATTATTCGATTTAGTGTTATCAAGTAAAAAACTTTGACGTTTGCAAATAAACCAGTTTTTTTGCATTATTTCGTTTCTTGGCCATTCAGGTTTACTGAAGTTTCTTGAAAACTACTTTGCTGACATTTCATGCATAATAAAATGGTCTGAACGTGTATATTTTATTCGTAGGCAGTTTATTTGTTCAATTATGTGTGGCTAATACCCTTATACATATTTAAATATTTATTGACGCTTTATTCAATGCATTTCTAAAGAATATTGTGAAATAGTTCTGAAATAGCTAACCTTTATCTCCTTAAAACATTTAATATGCAATTTAATTTTGTAATTTTATATATTTAAAAATGTTCTGTATCATTATATTATTAATTTTGTTATTAACGCTGTCTTGTAAACTAAAATGAATTTAATTGCTTTATAATTATACCATCTGTCTGCAATCATTGTGATGCACATGACTCTTTCCTGCATATACTTTAGGATTGTAAGGTATTTTCTACTCCACTAAAAATAATTTTGTGTTGCGTGAAAGTTTTGTCAATTACATAGTCATTGTTTTCAACAAAAGCTGACCATGGTCATTATGTTGAATGGTTATATCTATTTTTAGGCCACGTGCGTTGCATTTTTGTCACTTATTGACCACTTAGTTGGTCACTCGCACAACGGGGATGTAGCTCAGATGGTAGAGCGCTCGCTTAGCATGTGAGAGGTACGGGGATCGATGCCCCGCATCTCCAAGGATATTGTCCTTCGGGACCTTTTTTTATTTAGTTGTATCCAGCTATAAGCAGAAATTGCGCAATTAGTCAATCATCTCAAAGAAACCAAATTCTATAAACATTTATCTTTAATACAAAACAAATTTTTTTTTCTGCAAAAATAAAAAAAAAGTAAAAATTGGTCCTTTATGGAGATGCGGGGCATCGATCCCCGTACCTCTCACATGCTAAGCGAGCGCTCTACCATCTGAGCTACATCCCCCAATGATTCGACGGCAGAGCTTTTTTATTCTAGTTGAATTTATATTTCTATATTTAGAAAAAATATATATCAATTATTTTAATATTATCCTTAGTGAACTTACGTAAATATCTTTATATCCTTCAAAATATCTGAATAGCAGCTCTGTAATTAAAAATAATTTCGTGCGAAATCAAAACGCATTTATTTTCCTCTTATAAATAAAAAACTTGTATTTATGAAAATTAAAAATAGTGCAAAAAACATGTCTACCCGTTGGAGATGCGGGGCGTTGATCCCCGTACCTCTCACATGCAAAGCGAGCGCTCTACCATCTGAGCTACATCCCCTCCCTTTATGGTTTTTTTTATTTTAGTTGAATTAAAATATATTTCTATAAAATATATGTACGATTTTTAAAATTATTATCCTTAACTAACGTAACAATAAGACGGATCTTTCTTTAAATATTTTTATATCCTTCAAGAACAGTTGTGTAATTAAAAATAACTTTGTGCTTTCCTTTAAAAGCCGATTAATATAAAATAGTGCAAAAGAATTTATACGGTAATCCCCGTACCTCTCACACGCAAAGCAAGCGCTCTACCATCTGAGCTACATCAACCCCAGTTAATGAACTGTGAGACAGATTTTTTTATTTTAGTTGCTCAATATATATCTGTATTTAAGAAAACATATAAATACATATATTTTTAAATATGATCCTTAGTTAACTAACGTAACATTAAGACAGATTTTTATTTAAATACTTATATATCATTCAAAATATGTGAAGATCAGCTGTGTAACTACAAATGCTGTGCTAATTTGTTTGTTTTCCTTAAAAGACGACCAAAAAACCAACTTTAATTAGTAATTACACAGTTAATCTTTACTCTCCAAGCAATCAAAATAGAAATTACTTGATTTTATAAAACATAAGTTATCCTATATATTAAAAGTGTTTATTACAAAAATTAAAAAAAAAATTTTTAAAGTAAAATGATCCTCGTTGGAGATGCGGGGCATCGATCCCCGTACCTCTCACATGCTAAGCGAGCGCTCTACCATCTGAGCTACATCCCCTTCGAGTTTTCGTCGGCCAGGTGTTCTTCATATTAGGTGCATTGAAATACGTTCTATATTTAGAAAAATCTATATATATATATATATATTTTTTTTTTAAATATAATCCTTAGTTAAATAACATAACAATATGAAAGATTTTTAATAAAATTATATTTGTATCCTTAAAAATATCAGAAGAACAGCTGGGTAATAAACAATGCTGTATTCACTTTCTGTTTTCCTTTTAAAACCGACCGAACAACCAGCTTTATCTCAACAAAATCATTAAGCCAATTCTATATTGATTTAATTATAATATAAATTCGTTTATTAAAAAATAAAAATAATCTTAAAAAAAAATCTCATTGGAGATGCGGGGTATCGATCCCCGTACCTCTCACATGCTAAGCGAGCGCTCTACCATCTGAGCTACATCCCCTGGTGATCGTCGCCGGCCAAAAATACGTGTCATTCCGCAGGGCTGTTCACTTGGTAAAAATCAGATGTTGCTTATATATGGAACGATCTGGAATGAAACAACCCACAAAATCTGCCAAACGGCACCCTCGGTAAACAAAAGAAATTCATTTACGCATTTTCTTTTCGGTTGCATTTTTGTTTTATTATTTATTCGCTTTTAAAAACTGTCAATATTTACACTTGGCGCAGGTTCAGTCTGCCATAAAAATTACAAAAATACACACTCTCGCGCAATTTTCATTTTATTGTACTGTTTTGTTTTCTTTGCGTTATTGTTTTGAGCTTTGCACAACGTCTTCAGCATCCGCTCTAACCACCTGCCATCTGATGCATATAATTATGGAAATTTTACCCCTAACCACAGGAACAACAGCCCTACAACAAATGGCTCCCAAATGAAAAATCAACGCCAGCAGTCGTAACGATTTTGCCAGTGTAAATAAAAGTTGAGACAAAACCAAATGATATAAGGAATACAATTCTCTGGGGAAAGAAAAAAGCAAACAAAATTTACATAAGCTCAAAACATGCCACAATATTGATAGCATGCAGACAAATTTAAAATATGACATTTACGCGCTCAGTTTCTTTTGCATCAGGTGGCAGCACAGTCACAAATGCAACTCTGGGAACAGCTGATTTAGTTTGTGCTCTCACATCTAAAATAAAAGTAAGAGTTCTGTGGAGTATTTATTTTGCAGTTTTAGATACTAAAGGCTTGCGCGTGTCTTGTGTTTAAATATAAACAATATTAATAACAAATTATAAGACCACGAAAGAAGACAATAATGCTGCTGCCACAACAGATGCGCAAATAAGACGCTCTTCTATGGTTTCATACAACAAAGAGTACAAAAATGTCCTATAATTTGCAATTAGCAGTGAAATGCAGCCAGCAAACGTGACAGGCGTTGCCTTAATTATGAATAAAGTTTATGTTTATATTTAAGTAGTGTATATATATTGTTAAGTTTTGTAATGAAAGAGCGCCGCGAACCAGCAGCAACAGCTGCCGCCGACACAGCAACTGCGGTAATAACAACTGCCGGTTCCGAACCGTTGTCGGGCTTAGCTTCGGGCAGCGATGTTACAGACGCAGCAGATACTGCCTCAAAGGAGCGCAAGAGATGCCATACAGGTGGTCTGCAGCATCAACGGCAGCACAATTCAAATGGACCACCGACAACCAGTGGCTGGTAAGTTACAATTTCTTATATAAATGGCATTAGACGCTAATTCAAAAGCATTTACATATACACACACACACACGCACACACATGCATAAAGTACCTCATCTATCTACGTGTGTATCATCCCGCTCCACGTTCGAACATTCGAAACTGCCAACGCTCGCACAAAATGCTATGGTAATGAGGCAGGCCATCAAATACAGCGACGCGTTGTGCTCACGTCCTTGCTAATTTTATGTGCTGCCATCGCCTAGGATCACAGGCCGAGGCGACACAGCCTTGCTCCAAGTGGCATAAACATAATGTGATGTAGACGCGCATCATGCTAAAATAGCTTGCCTTAACGAATTTTTTTCGTCTCCTGTTTTACATACTCTAGTACCTTGTTGAGCTTTGGCTCCTGGCTGGCTGCTCTGAGAGCTATTTGATATGGCTACGAAATCGTTTGGGTTTGAGATTATCAACAAGGCATAGCATTTGCTGTATGTCCATAATTGCATAGAAATTTCGAAATAAAAATAGTCTATCAAAAATATATCTAGAGCAAGTCACATAAGGTAATTATTTAAACTAATACAATTTTGAATAGATTAAATATTTTCATTATTAAGCAGAGTTAGAAATCATAGGAGAAATGAAGCAGAAAGTTTTCATAGAATTGTTAGAACATTATCATTTATACTCTTTTTTAATTCCTAGCCCTCTAATCTCTATATAAACTCCTTTAGATTTCGGCAAGCCTATCAACACATACGAAATATTCTCAAATTATTAGCTTTTATTCCATCCCCCAGGCTCGTGGCTACCCAAACCAAACAGTCTTCCTTGCGTCCTGTAACAGCTGCTAAAAAAAAAGCAAAAAACATTCGAAAATGTTCATAATAAATATAAAATGGGCAAAACGTGTCGATTTCACATAACAACTTGAAAATGATTTGTTTCACAGTCTGCGGCGCATATTAACTTCGATTTTCAGTTTGAAGCAGCAGCAGCTCATATGCCACATGCATCAAGGACTTTCTCCCCCAGTTGCTTGAGCAATTTTTTGCCAGTTAGTGAACGGCAAATTCCATTAGGCCGCAAATGTTGCCAAAAACAACACAAAAGCGGCTCATAGACAACTTTGTGCATGTTGTTTTTGCTGCTGTTGTTTATTTGTTGGCCTGTTTGTTGGCTGTGTCTCAATGACGTTGTCCTTAGCCATGGCCCGCAGCTCCGTCAGCTTCATCTTGTTAACCAAACATGCTGCAGACACTGGCGCTAAGACAAAGCCACAGGTCCAGAAAAAAACCTCTAATTGATGGCCTAACTGGACACCTGCCTGCTGCTTTGCATCTTGACCATTTCCGTTGTCCGGCAGCCAGCACGGCGGATATGCATGTCTACTCAATTTTCCGACAAATGACGGGACATCTCTCGACTGTGCTTCAACCTCACCTCAACTGCTATAAGCCATCGAAATTGATTGGAATTTACAACATGCGGCTACAGTTTTCTGTTTTTTTCTGATCCTTGTTCCCTCTTGCCATTGAGACTCGTCAACACTTGAGCACTGAGCTTGTTTGCTGCTACATATTTGCCCCTTGGTCCTGGGTCCTTGGCCACATTGCAAGAACCACAAATTTCTCTCTGAAATTCGAAAAAATTTTCGATTTTTGAATGCCTCAACTTCACGGAATTTGATGTAGTTTTATTTACGATTTTTATAAATAAAGTATACTATTAATTTGAGTATACGAAAATGCTGCTTGTATTCAAAATTCCAATAAGATTCTTTCTACAAGCAAAGTTCAAAAAGTTGAAAGTGTTCGAATCGAGAGTATCCCACTATCTAATACCTTCAAGCCCGCAACATGCTATATTATGCAAATATTATGCTATTAAATGAATTTGACCGTCTAAAAGTCTATTTTTAAATTTGTTTCCGAAGTATTGCATACCTGATTGTATGCTTGCTCTTTTAGTCTTGTTCAAATCAAGTAAAGTCACATGAATTTTTTCTTGATATCGAGGAAATGCGAAATATATTTCAAATAGTTTCGCTAACAAACTTACAGAAATACAGCTTAATAACTATGCAGATACACAAAGCCAATATACCCAACTGGCCCATTTCTAGGGTAACAGTAGCTGACCATAGGTATTAACGTAATTAATTTCGTAGCGCGTCACATGTTTTGGAGCGTTAAAAAAATAACAGAAATTAATTATAAACAAATCTTTTCATGTCAGCAACGGAATTTGCGACACTTTTGCGCATTTTTCAGCAACCCATCGAAAAGTTTTATTTTTTTAACTCAATTTCACAGCAATTTCTGGACGGCGATCCCTACCAATCCCACTCCTCGGGCGCAGTCCGTATCCATTGTTTAGGGTCACTCAAAAGCACATTTCGCTTATTATTAGCTCATTTATTACCACCAAGTGCTGACCCTGGCAGCACCTGGAACAGATCCCCCAGCAAAGCCCACTCCAAAAACGGAAAACTTTGTGAAAAATGCTGCCCCGTCCGAGGCAATAAAATAAAAAAAAAATTCTGAAAAGAAAAACCCTGTGGGTCGCGGGCATCTTAAAATTAACACATAAATTTTAAGTGGGTGGTGTCATAGGGGAAGCGATGCCTGCGGCACTCCATGAGATACCTTCGCCTCACGCTTGGGTGGCTCGGACTTTCGCCTGCGGTTGGACCCTGGCGACTGTCATTGAAATTTCCGTACGAGTGCGTCCAGTGTGCTGGCTGTCAATTCACCTAGGCAATAACTTGTTGGCCAATTGACGTTGAAAGCACGTGACGCGCCGCAGAAAAGTATCTGCCAGATACATTTTGCCTGCCCAAGTCTGGTTTATTGTGTGCGAATTAGCCCCACAGACTCGCTGCCATTTTAATTATGCGCCACCAAGAATCCAATTCATTATCAACCCGAGGCAGGCCCAACTTAAGAAAGAAATCAAGCCAAAGACACTTCTTCAACAATGGAACCCCGACGAAGTCACGGCAAAATGGCAAAGGACCGCTGCAATGCGGAAATAAATAAACGTCGCGAATCTCAGAGAACATTTTGAATAGCAAAATTAAGCGCAGCAGCCCCAAGACCTGCTCGAACTCTATTTGTAAGATCTGCGCTGTTTAGTTATGCATTTCCCTGTTTGTTTCCTTCTTTTTTGCAGTTTTGCTATTAATTTTTTCTTATTTACATTTTTTATATAAATTTTTCTCGTTTCCACAGGCGCCAGATGAACTGCTCGAATTATAATGGCCAGCCCTGGCCGAATGGACGCAGGCAAGTTTTCCTTTCCCTCTTCTTCTTCATTTTTTAACCCACACTAAAAATCCGTCGTGTCAGTCGTTCTGCCCGCCGTTTGTTTTGTCTTCCGGCCTGTGTATTGTTTGTTTGTTGTAGCTTATGTGTGTGTGTGTGTGCGTGAGTTTCTTGTGCTTTCTTTTGGCTTAACGCACGTTTGCACCTTCGCCAAAGCGTTGTGTGCGAGTGGGTGGATGGACGGTCTAGGTTGCCCCAGGAAAGGCAACCGCATTATTAACACTTGACTAAATATGCATTTCTTGACAGCAAGAAGCGTTAACAAGGTTTGTATTAAGGCCTTCAACACAAACACTACCACAAATGCGAATTCAAAGCTGACTAAGCCCCTGCTTGCATAGATAAGATACTTTAATATTTCCCAAGATATGCAAAGCTTTCAATATATGCTCTATATAGGTATATAGGCAAACCATACGTTCTATATGACAAATGTTTTTTAGAGCAATTATAATGAAATTAATTCAGCTGGTAAAGAAACAGAAAACTTTGCATTCTTCTTTAAGTAAAAAGTGGATTTAAAAAATATTATTAATTAATAAACTAATGAAAGCTTTTTTTAAATATAGTAGACCATCATAAGTTTCTAATATACAAAAATGAAATTAATTAATTTGAAGAACATTTAAAGAAGCATGAATCCGAGGAGAGAACTCATTTGAAAATACTTCTGAAATTTATAGGTCTCCTGCCTAAGTTATTTGGCTCAATATTCCAATTATTCTGCCTCTATAAATTGATATTTTGTATGCAATTTCTATAATATTCTACGACTAAGATATGACTAAAAACGTTTTATGTAGACTCCAAAAATGCCAGAAAAATCGAACTTTAGATTTTTGGAATATGTAGATTCTGTTTAAGAAAACGAGGTTTCAAACATGCTATCTTTAGAAAAAACCCTCTCAAAGTTCCATCACTTAACTGCATTAGCATAAAGAAAAGTTCCATGCAGCAATGTGTTTGTAATTCTCAAACAAATATTTTTAATTTTTATTAAAATTACAACAATAAAAACAATGATAATTATAAGATTGATAATAATTATAATGATAATGAAAATAATAAATAATAATAATAAAAAAAAAAATTAATTAACATATGAAATAGGAAAAGTAAAGAAAAGCCCTAGCATACATGAAAAAGTTTAGAAAATCTGCTACATATTTAAAGTGAGGAACAAACATTCATTAACTAGTTGCACAAGAAAAACGTAGTGAATATTGTCTTATCGTGCAGCATGCCACATACAGGAGTGTATATCAAAGACGTAAATACACCTGAAGTATGTACGAACGCAATCCCAACGTGTAACTTCAATGTTACCCACCACCCGCCCTACCGACGCGTGGGGCGACTGCCGCATGGCGCACGGCTCGTAGATCGCGATACAGCCAGGGTCCGGACCCTGACCACAAGAGCTAGCAATGGTACCGGCGCGTACGCGTTTTGCAAGTTCGGACATCCCTTCTAAGCTTAGCCACGGATAATTTTGTTAGCTGGACATGTTGGGCAAGCAGAAGACCAGCCCCGGATAGAACAGATTAGGCCAATGTTTAGCTCTCGCTGGGAGATCGTTTATCAAAAAGTTAACTCGCACGAGACGCAATTATCAAAATCATTATATTCGGATATTCATTTGGATTCGACACATTACATGTGTATTTAGATCGATGATGATTTTATCTTAAGTCTATTACCATTAGTCGCCTGCCTATGCATTGCTGTTAATGTGAGTAACTATACTTTCGATTACAAATGTATGTATATAATATTGGCTACATATTTGCCCTACTATCGGTTACATATTTGATATTGGGTTTTATTTTGATGGTTATGTTAATTTGTTGTATTAGATTTTTGGTATCTTAATACGTATACTCCTTAACCTCGACTCTTTTCTTGCCGCCATATAGCGTACATTACAGTTATTTATTCCATCCATTTTTGTTGTCATTTTAATGTGTTTCTACTTACAGTTGGTTCGCTGTATGCGAACTAACGATTTACACACAAGAATTTGATTTGGCTATAAAGCCGATGATCAGTTTAAGCAGCTGACGCTTTGCGTATATCGATCGCAGTTATTGATCTGAAAGATAAGGGAATAGTCAACATGTTGATGTGATTGGACTAAAATGCATTGAGATAGAATATTGTATACAAAGTTAGGAAATACTAAATCTAATTTAATTTTTAAAAGTAACTGTGTTTCACTAATCTATGCTTCAACAATTGTCAGCCAGATTTCTTAAGCCTTTTAGATAATTATTATAATTAAACATTAGAATTGAAAAACGCAGGATATATTCTTATATTTTTTTTCTTTCGATTATTCTACACTTTTACACTAATCATAGATTATATGGTTAATCAAAATATTTCAATTGACTTAAAAAATGTAAAAAATTAAATAAAAATATTGAGATTATTTGCTTTTTGAAAAAATTTTAATTAACAGACAAGAGCTTTTATAAAACCAATAAAAGGATAATGAATATTTGAATGACATTCGATTGTTGATTATTTTCATAACTAACTTTATTTATTTATTAGCACAGCTTTTGCAATAAGCAATATATCAGATTCAATTACACCCAGTGTCATTGCCCTAAGTTATAGGCTACATACATATTTATACACAGATGTACATATGTACATATATATACACTAACACATACACTAACACTGAATACGTACCTCAGTAAGCCAGTGGCTCGCGCAGGGATCCAAGAGTTTTGCCGTCTTTTGGCAAAGAACTCGTAAAAAATGCTCCTGCAGGGCTTTGTTAATGACCACAATAGAAACGACTATTGCAATAGGTGATGTGCTTGTCTATTTGTTGGTTTATTTAGTGTGGAGAAGATGAGATACTCAAACGAAGTCCAAAGGTTGGTAGTTGAAATTCAACTGAGCTCAAGCACATAGCCTAACTGACTTTTATAGGCAGTACAATCAAATGACATGCGCCGAATTTGGCTCATACATATGTACAGCGAGCTAGTACACGGGAGATGCGGTATTCCAGTCCTGATCCTAGTTCCTAGCCCCCAACTGCATGCCTTGCTTATTGTATTGTTGTATGTAGTTTACAAACAATAATGCCAACACTCACACCAGCGGCTTGTATAGCAGCACGCAACAGCCAACCAGGCAGCGTTTGCAGTTGCCTGCCTCTCACTCTTTTTTCTCTCTTTCTCTCTCTCTTTCGCTCCTTTAGGGAGCATTAATTGCACATTGCAACTGCCATTGTTGTTGCTGTTGTTGTTTATTTTGTTTTGCTTGTATTTTATTTTATTTCCCAATGCGCTTTTTTGCTTAGTTTCTCATGCGCACTCGCTCACTCTCTTATACTCTTTTTGCTGCGCTCCCTCTCTCCCGCTCTCTCTATCTCTGTCGGGTGCAATCGTGTTAAGTACTTCGTGTCCAAGCGAAAATTTCGCTAACAGCGCTACTCCTTGGCTGTCCCGTCAGTCTCGCTCGGTCTTTTCAGCTCGCTCGTTCGTCGTGCGCTGCCGGCAGCGGGCAGCGTGGGCGGATGATGACTGCTGCACACCCCTTACCCAACCCACCACCAACACAACTACCATTGCACACAGCCGTTGCATCTTATTTAGTTACACTTTGCTGCTGCTGCTCCTCCTGCTGCTGTTGTTGTATTTTGCATTGTTTTGTGCTGTGTTTTGTTTTGCTGCTTGCCGTGCAGCGGGCGCCTCTCGGGCCGTGACTTCGTGTTATGTACAAGCCGTTATGATCCTCGGCTCGACGCTCGTTCGTTGTATATGCGTTGGTTGTGTGTACGGTATTGCTGTTGTTGTTCTTGCTCTTCTCGTTATTGTGTTGTGTGTTTTTGCAATTGTTGTTCTTGCCTTTGCATGCGATTGCCATATACCAGCCACTACTACCAGTGTGGTTCTTGTTGTTATCGCTGTTGCTATTGCTGTTTTGCTCTCTAAACTACTCCAACTGCAGCAGCATATCCGTCGGTTAACGGCATTTGGCAACTCGACAGGCACGCAGAAAGTTCTCGTGGTCAGCCTATTGTGTTGTGTTGTGTTGTGTTGTGCAGTGTCTTGTGCATCAACATCGGCAAAGTCGAGTCAACAATTTAGATTCAGTTGCATATAATTTCTAATGTGATAGTTTGAAATAAGATAATAATATTAGCACTGACACTGTAAAAAACTATCGCATTTTAAGATATATAAACTTTATGAATTTATTAAAAATTAAAGAAGCATACAATGAAATAAAAGATTAATGATGAAAACTGTTAATATGAACTTTGTTAATAGAAAAAAATCATAAATAAATAATCTGAATTTGAAAATTCCTACAGCAAAATTTCGAAAACAATCAAATCCATAAGGAAACTAGAATTCTGTTTCCGCATAGCTGTCAAAGCGCAGCATGTGAACAAAAAAAAAATAAATTTCATAGCCTAACAAGCAGGGCGCTTACATTACACACACTCACGCACACACACGAACAGCCTGGCAAACAATTCATAAACAATTAAGTGTCACTTGGAGTGTCGGAACGTGAGGCGTATTCGAAATGTCATTGATATTGCTTTGTTTCGTGTAAACGTTTAACGCCAACTGAATTATTGTGATTGAGTTAACTTGCGGAACTTGAGTGTGGTCAACTCAGGCAATTAAATTGTTTGAGTTATTACCAGAGACTGAATTAGTTTTGGTAAATTAGGTTCGTTTAGCAACTGGCAACAAAGTTGTCAATTCTGTGATTATTTCTATTGCATTGCGTTCTTAATGCCTATGTCCTGGCAACGCAAAAATTTGAAACGAGAATATTATTCTTTTAAACAAAACGCGAGGTGAGCTAAATTCAAAATTCAACAAAGTTTATTGAAATACTTGATATTTAATTGATTTAAAAGATTTATTTATTTATGTATATTTTTTAAAAAATATCAAAATTTACAGTTAATTTATATTTTG